GCTTCCAGATTCCTCACTGCCGTACATACTGGATTTTGATGCTAGTAATGTCGGAATTGGAGGAATATTGTCTCAGAAAGTGGGCGAAAACGAACATGTGGTGGCCTACTTCAGTAGGGTTTTGAGTAGATCAGAGAGGAACTACTGTGTAACATGGAGAGAACTCCTTGCTACAGTAAAGAGTCTGACATATTTCCACCCTTACCTCCATGGTGCAAGGTTTACCATTAGGACAGACCATGCTGCGTTACATTGGTTAAGATCATTAAAGAACCCAGAGGGACAACTAGCACGCTGGATCGGAAAAATAGACCAGTATAATTATAATATTGAATATAGAGAAGGAGAATCCCATGGTAATGCTGATGGACTGACCCGAAGACCCTGCAAAAATGACTGCAGACATTGCTGCAAAACAGAGGTTGAACTAACCAGGTGCCATCAAGCTGAAGTCAAGCTGACTGAAAGAGTTGATGATGGTGAAGTGGGACCAAATATAGATATCAAAGTAGAACAGGAGAAAGACCAAGATTTGAAGCCAATGATTGATTTTCTAAAAGCAAGTGTTTTGTACCCTGCTTGGGAGAAGGTGTCTAGTCTAAGCTCTGTGAAAAAGAAGTATTGGGCACAATTGGACCAGTTGAGGCTTGAAGATGGTATTCTTCTCCGGAAATTGGAAATTGCAGATGGGAAAGTGTCGATCTGGCAAACGATTATACCGATAGAGTTACGAGAAGTTGTGTTGCATCAATCCCATGATACTCTAACAGGAGGACATCTCGGAGTTTAGAAAACATTGAGTCACCTATGACACAGATTTTACTGGATAGATATGAGACAAGATGTGGAAGAATGGCGCAGAACATGCAGTACATGTTGTGCTAAAAAGGGACCCAAGCATCAGAGACGTGCTCCAATGAAGTTATATCAAGTTGGTGCACTACTGGAAAGAGTAGCCGTCGACATTGCTGGTCCTCTGCCTCAAACTTGTGCTGGAAACAAGTACATTTGTGTGGTGATAGATTATTTCACCAAGTGGCCAGAGGCATATGCGATGCCAAATCAGGAAGCTACAACTGTAGCTTCGGCTATTAGTGATTTCTTCTTCAGATTTGGTATGCTATATGAACTGCATTCAGATTAAGGCCGTTACTTTGAATC